CCACGCGAGATTAGGGGAGGAGTTTATTGACTACGATTCCGACGATGGGACGGCTGCGGATGCCCCGCGGACGAACAACTCGGATGCAGACCCGTATGCTCGTACGCCCAGCCTCGTCGTTGGCGCGATTTTTTTGGCGTGACCGCGTTTTAGGTGTATTTTTCTCAAAGGATCATCGCGAAGAAATCATCGAAGTGGAGGAGGAGCCAGAACTGGTCACGCTCCCTGGGAACCCCGAGCCGGTCAAACTCATGACGCAGGGCGAGTGGATGAAGGGCTGTCCGCCGCCTTCCGGTGGAGAGCAGAGCTTCCTCTTCGCACTCTATTCGCAGTTAAGTGAAGGGAAATGCCCGTGTCCTCACGAATGTGGCTCATCGGAACTTCGGAAAAAAGCGACTTCTTCCCGATCTTTGTGAGTTGGTCATTTCCCGTGGTGTCGCCCCGCTGATCGACCCCACTGCGCAGCCCGAGTTCTCGTCGTATATTACACACCTGCAAAGCGTCGTACAAAAAACTTGCAAGCGGTGCCACTCCGAGTTTTGCTTTGCCTGTGGGGAGCCGATAACTGAGAAGGTGCAGCGACCTGGGGCTGCGGCCCCCGGCGATCCTCTGTTCCACTGCGCCGATATCCAAGGCGTCATCCTCGGCGTTGGGCTGTCGATGCTTGAGCAAATGTTCTCTGAGCAGACCCAGGACTCGGGTGCCTCGCAGGATCATAAGACGCGAAACAATAAACGTAGGAAAACCGCAAAGGTGCAGTCGAAGGATGATGATGATGACGACGACGACAGCGGCGATTTCTTCAGCCGCTTGAGCCCGACTGGCGGGAAGAGACCCAAGGGTGGGGTTGGCTATGCCGGCGACCAGAAGGAGGACGCAAGTACCAGTCGCTTGTTACACCGATAACTAATGTATTAATCTTTTCTCTCCGTTTAGAATTCAGGTCAGCTTGAAGCTCAGGCCCAGCAGGCCGTCAAAGACCAGAAGATTGGGAAACTCTTAACGGAGATCGGTGTATACCTCCCTTCTTTGCATCGCGAGGGCCACCATCCCAGTGATTTCCTTCCACACCCAACCGCTTTAGCGCATCTTCGAAGGCGGTTCAACTACGTGTCTAGTGCGTTGCTGAGAAACGATTCTTTGGCAGACATGTCGGAGCGTTCTGTGCTGTACTTTAAACTGCTTGAATGGCTTGAGGTGGGGTTGTTGCATGGTGCACCTTTGGGATCAAGCTTACTTGTTTCCTTTAGACAATATCGAGTCACGAAGCACTGGCGAGTATGATGGCCATGCCGATCATGACGGTATCCTCTGTCAAGTCTGTTACAACCCGGAAATCCCCCAACAATACACCGATTCGAGAGAGAACCATCATATATGAAGGGAGTGCTGGGCCCCGAGAGCTGCTTGAAGCTATCGCTATCCAAGCCCATGCTGCGATCAAAGCCCTGGAGAGCTCCAAGGCCCCGGATCTACCCGATCAAGAGTTGACGGAGGAGCAGAAGCGGATGACGGTCGATACGAAGGGCAAGTCCAAGGAGGTCTCGGCACCCGTTGCCGACGAAAACCAGAAGCTGCTCAGTTTCTGTCAGCGGATTCTTGGTACGGCGAATGCCATTGATCGATCGCTGCGTGAGACCAAGGGCGATGCGTTTGTCGAGCGGCTGCACGCTTCGTTGCCCAAGATCCTCACCTCATCTTCCGAGGAGGGAATGTTGGTCGACCCCGGTCTGACGGAAGAGAGCGCGACCAAGAGCTACGTGGAATGGGCGACCCGCGTCAGATTCGAGTACTGCGATCTGACCATCCCGGTGACGACACCCGCCAATGAATCCGAACCTCAACTGCCGCACTATAAATCCTATTACAACAATGAAATCCGCATGCTCGCTCTGTCTGACATTCCTAAACGATCTCTCGCCATTGCCAAAGAAGTATAGCTCCATGATTGACAGTTACCGACTTTTCTAACATCCCAAAAAAGCTCTCGATCTTGACGAATAATCTACCCATCGCCTGGAACTCGTCGATATTTCTACGTATCGATGAGACGCGGGTGGACGTGATCAAGGCCCTTATTACCGGACCGGAAGGCACACCGTATGTCCTTGCCTTTTTTTTCATCTTGTCTACCGCCGACTCTGTACTAGATATTACAATGGCTGGTGAGTTGGTGTCTTCTTCTCACCGAAATCTTCCTGACGTGGAGAAACAGCTATCTTTTCGACATCTTTCTAGGTCCAAACTACAACCAGTCTCCCCCGAGCGTCAAGTATATGACGGTAAGGTCTGCGAGTAGCCTGCTACCCTCGCGCTCAACAATATTTTACTAGACAAACGGCGGCAAATTCCGCTTCAATCCCAATCTCTACGCAGTAAGCTCAAGTATACTTTGCTTCTTGTATATATTGACATCTGGCACAGGACGGAAAAGTTTGTTTGTCATTACTGGGGACGTGGTCTGGGCCGGGTTGGGTCGCTGGGCGGTCGACGTTGCTTCAGGTAAGATCGTTCCTTGTATGTGTTGCGAAGCTGATTATACCAGGTTCTTATTTCGATACAATCCATGATTCTGTGCGAAGAGCCCTACCTGAACGAGCCAGGGTGGGCATCAAGCGCTGGAACTCCGCAATCCCGTGCATGTAAAAGAATCCTTTCATTTCAAGTAGGGTTCGGAACTGACCTCACAAAGATTCGGCCAACGTTCGGCGAATGGTTGTCAAGACAGCGGTCAGCGTTGCTGTCATATGCATGCTTATTTCTTGGATTAATATTTTCTCAGATGCTTGGCAATTTGCAAAACCCGCCTGAGCCTTTTGCGGACATCATCCGCACCCATTACCGGTTGAAAGCACGTTCCATCGCGGAGCAGCTAGACCAATGGCTTTCAACCGACGATGGTAAGCCAACGATGGGTGACGGGGGCGGACAGCCGCACGGAAGGGATTCTGTAGGACAGAGCTCGAACGGTTTGGCGGAGGACGTCGCTGAGATGAAACGGGTCTTGAAAGACCTGCAAACTAGCTTCGCCACTAGTCGTCGAACTTGAAGCTTCTGTAAAGTAGTCAATCAAACATGTCGACATTTAAGCATTATCCGCATGTGATTACCGCGAATCACGCTTTCAGTCGCGGCGCACACTTATATTCGCCGGTCGTCATTTCATTCTCTCTGTCGCGTTCTTGTTTTCCCCTCTTACATTTTTGACGCGTACAGGCCGACTTGCTAATGAACGATTCCGTCATCCATGCTGTCGCTGGTGGGGCTGCTGGCATCGTTGCCATGTCTTGCACCTAGTAAATTCGCAGTTTGTTCGGCGCGTTGATCATAGCTTGCACTAACCAGTGCTTGACCAGCCCATTGATATTCCTATCCACCCGGGCAGCCGTAGAAACGAAGAATGAATCCAAAGTCGGTATTTGCTTACTTTTCTATGCGAGCTCCCGAGCTCATAGGATGCAGTCTCTATACCAGGCTGTTTTGGACATTATCAAACGCGAAGGCGCTTTTGGACTGTACAGCGGCCTGAGCTCGAGCCTATTGGGCATCGCAGTGACAAATACAGTCTACTACTATTTCTACGAAACTAGTCGGGGAATCGTGTTGAAGGCCCGAGCAGGGAGCAAAGCGCTGACTACTGCAGAGTCGATATTGATTGGAGTGATTGCCGGTAAGGCATCACTCTTCACTCGGGATATTTGTTTGAATCTTATCCGAAGGATCTGCGACGACAATTATCAGCAACCCAATCTGGGTACGTACCCACAACATCCATCGAGACGCGTCTAATCACTTCCCTAGGTGGTTCAGATTTCACAGGCTGTGGAAACCTTGGACCATGCTGAGCCATCTTTGGATCCTTCCCAGCCCAAAGTGAAAAAACTTTCGATTTTGGAAACGATCCGAACGATAGTCGCCAAAGGTGGCATTCAGTAAGATTCTAGGTACCAAAATTCAACTCCAACGCTCATTCCTTCTTAGAGAATTCTGGCGCGGCATTGGCCCTTCGCTGGTGCTTGTTATCAACCCCGTTCTGCAGTACACCGCATTTGAACAATTGAAGAACCTTCTTGTCGCCAGTAGAACGGCCAAGTTGAGGAGGGCCACTGGCGCCGCCACTGCTGTGGCCGTTCTGACTGATTGGGATTTTTTCTTTCTGGGCGCTCTGTCTAAACTTGGTGGGGGCAACTCTGTCTTTCGATGCGGGAACTCGTCTAATGGATTTCTCCAGTTGCCACGGGCTCGACCTACCCATATATGTATGTCGGAGTGTTCATTTGAAATTCTCTTACCGACATATACGCAGCGTCGTCAAAAGTCGTCTTCAGGCAGGACATGCCCATGCTCTCAAATACAAGTCGTCATTGGACGGCCTTCTCACCATCATCAAAGAAGAAGGGATTGAAGGGCTTTACAAAGGTGTTGGCAGCAAACTCATCCAGAGTGTTTTGACTGCCGCCATTTTGTTTGCGGGCCAACGTCGGATCTATGAGATTACGAAGAAGGTATGAATATTCCTGAAGGCTTTAACCTCGAAGAATTTACATCGTCGTCAGGCAATCTCCGCATGATCTGTACTATATCACACTCTATAATATGCTTGTACTGCTTCGGCTTTGAAGAATATACATGATGCACTTGATTTTGGGTTGCTACGCCATTTTATTCCCCAAAAAAAGGCAGCGATGGCTCAGGGTCTCGCCCAGCTGGTTCTGAGCTGAGTACTTTCGCTGCAGGTACTAGGGTCGACCTCCCAGCCAGGCCATCCCTTCGCAAGCCCGGAAAGGTTAAGGCGCTGCAGTGAATGATCGTTGGTCGACCAAACTTATTTGGCCCAAAAAAAAATACGTTGAAAAATGGCAGTTTGAACAGTTTTCGAATTATTTACTTCCTTTACACTGTGCAACCGTGGGCTTCGATTGGGGGTGGTCATCTTCTTGGTTCAAGATACCGGATGGTGTACCGGCCTGTTATTTAGTTTGAAGCCTCGTTTCTATCATCCGACTTTAGCTCAGTTGGAAGAGCATCAGACTGTAATTGGCTTACCTAATCACCATCTGGGTGTCGCCTGTTCGAACCAGGCAAGTCGGATTCCTTTTGCCACTCGCCGGAGATGTGTTTAAAGCTTCCTGAAAGGTCCAGAAACGCGGGAGATCAGCCGATCACTATTTTCGCCTTTATTTTCCCCTCGTTCCTGTTCCAAATATCACACTTTTCAAGTGCCCAAATACCTTGTATACATAGCCTTTAGTCCCCCACTAGTGCTCAATATCGCGAGTTGACCTGTAAGAACCAAAATTGTGTCAAAACTTGCCATATAAACACACGTACACGCAAAATGATGGCATCTCCAAAAACCCCACTGTCCATTGGTTTCTCACTTTGATTCGAACAGTTTCAATATACCTTCGAAAACATACGTTCCAGACCTAGTTCACAATTTTTCAGGCCTTGGGACCTTTGCTACCTTGCATTTAGCATTTTTTGTCATGTCATCTCCAGACACGTGCAAACGATCGTTTCTCGCTCAGATTTTCTTCCCGAAACAACCTAATTCTCGAATTTAGATAAATAATTCTCTTTTTTCACCGGCCAGAGTGCCTAAATCGTGGTGAATTGAACCGAATTACCCGATTTGGCACTTGGCGTTGTTGTACCCAAATTGGAAATGGTAAACCCGGCGGAGTCCATTTGATGATGTTCGGCCTCCTGATAAACCGGAAACCTTGAAAATGGTTTTTCTCAGTTGCGAATGGGCCGCATGGTCGAACTACATCCCATCGAACAGATAATTTCAACAATTTACACCTACTAGTCCAAACTTCCACTCTTCCAAAAGACAACTGATCCCTTAGAAAGGTTGTTGTTTTATCTTCTCCGAAGTCCAAAAGGAAGTGGATCCGGAGGATCCAGAACCTGCTTACACACCATGAACTCTAGGCCAAACGTTGTAAGGCTGAAGGATCAAGTGTACTAATGAATATTTCACCTTTGTTCAAGGTCATCTAGATATAACTCACCTGTGTGTGTGTATATCTGGTGATTATATACCGACACTACAGGCCTGTCCTACCGAGTCCACTGGCAATTAGTACTGCAATACTCACCCCCAGTTTTAAATTTCAAGGCGACTACATTCAGATGTTTACAAGAAGTTACCGTGTTCCGGCTAATCAGAAAATGATAGACTTTTTTTGATTTTCAAGCAAAGCTCGGCCGACAACGGCAGGCACCACCAATCTGGGCTCTTACTGCAATTTCTTGGTAATTCGCTGTTCATTTTTCGTTCTCCAGGAGAACAAAAATTACTGCGGAGATGGGTCATGTACAGTACACTAGTACTGAGTAGACGTTCTCGGGACATAACAAGTAGGGATAATATTCAAGACGGTGGACGGAGGTGGAATGCAAGTGGAGCTATGGCGTAATGACGTTAGACTTTCCGGGCTGAAATTTTCGCGAAAATACAAAATATCAATCGTTTTCCGTTTAGTTGTCATTTGTTTCAATGTCAGACTTACCTGGTTCGAACCGGCGACATAACCTTAAGGTCGGACGCCGTTCACGCGCGAGTGCGAAGAGTCCGATTCGCTTGGACCGAGTGCGCCGCCCGCTATCCAACACATTCCTCGAGCTGCCGTGAGCAGACTGCAATTTTTGTCGAGCCCCGAGGCGATCCTGCCGCACTCCGATATTCCTGATGTGGACCTTCCTAATTGAGCACTTGGCGGTTGTTTACTTTTCGCGGGATTGCCAAATATTCCCTCCCGCAGACCAATGAGTCGAAAAGTGCTCAACGCTGTGGCCTTCATATCTCCACAAAACCACCCTATTCTCATCCGCACATTCACTACCAAGCAAGAAGACCATGCAATCAAGTACCACTATATTGCGCACACGAGTTTGGACGTGATAGAAGAGCGAGGTTGAAGCTTCTTCATCTCTAACTGCGCCTTCTGACCGAGGAACCAGTGGCGGCGGGCGGAAAGTCGACCGAGTGCTACCTTGGCCTACTATATGCCATGGAGGATGTCGCTGTGTACGGGTACATCACCCCTCTCAAAGTCAAGATTGTTATTGCGTTGGCTCTGTCAGATTCCGTGGTTCGCGATGTAGAAGTCAATCTTGTGCGTGAACGCTGGTTGAAGCTTTTTCGGTGCCGCTGACGCTCCCTAGATATTCAAAGCACTCCATATGGCGTACTACTCTGCGATATCCAACCCTTTTCTGAAACTAGACGCACCCACAGACGCGACTAATGACCATTCGCCGTATCTGCTCGTCGGCCGTTCAAATTGGAAAAACTTCCGGCGACGCATCGACGAGATATGCAGGGCTGTCGGGAATCCCTCGAATACCTAATGCGTCGTCGGTTTTCTCCATAGCAGCGCATTCATTCCCATGTGCGTCTGTGATGGTCACTGAGGTGAATAAAACCAACATCGACAAGTACCCTCCTATTGACTCAGTTGACACGAGCTCTCCGCATCTGAGACAGATACGGGGTAGATATTTATTTGTACAGTAATGCAGTATGTATCATCCACCCAACCTCGCCTCTTCCAGTTCTGCGAGTCCTTCAATGGCCTCTCGCGCCATGACCCTGACCACCATGTCCGCGTCAGTGACGGATACGTACGTCAAAATAGTTCTGATGCGCTTCAACAGCCTGCCCGACAACTCTGTGTCGGACGAGTCGTATATTTGTCTGGTTGTTTCCCGTATCAAGAATCCAAGGAAATGTAGCGCTGCTCGTCGGAAGGAAGGAAGCTTTGAATCCGTCGAGGTGGGGTTACTGTCTTCAGACTCAACGGACGTTTTGCGAGTGCTCTCGATCTGCAGCAAATCGACCATCGCTTCTGAGAGGTCTACGGCGTACGATGTCAGGGCCAGCGGGCAAGTATTCTCACATTCAGCCAGTAAAGATAGGGCAGACGTTCGGAGGGTTGTGGGAACCTGTGACGACCGAACGAGGTGGAACAATGGAGGTACTAGGATATCAACTGGAATTCGTTAGGTAGTTAATGAAGCATTTTGAAGCAAGAACCTACTATACACGGGTAAAGCAGAGCCGCACCTCTTGATTACAGAAGCTAACGCCTCGCCGATGCGGATCCGGATGTCCATGTCGTGTTGAGTGATAATGCTGGCACCGAGTCCATCCAGACCCCGTCCGTACTCTTTCACGAGTCCCCTCAGCACGTCTTTACCATATGTATCCACCATAGCTGCAAGACCCTGCACAGCATTGAGGAACATGTACGAATCGTCGTCTTGTACAGACTGCAGGAATATTGACAGAATGGCAGGAACCAAGGCGGGATCCGAGAGTCGGGCTCCTTGGGACATCTGTGGGCTGACCAACTGCCGGAGTAGCAACAGCCCATGAGCCCTGACGGGTAGGATGGGATCCTGAAGAAGTTTAAGAGCCTTTTGATAGATTTCTTGCGTGCTGTCTTCATCGCGGGCGCTTCGACTGGGAGCAGAAGTCGAGGCTAAACGGGCTGTCATGACCATCCTTGCTTCCCGCGCCAATGGCTGGATAGTCGGCGATCCTGTCAATGACAGCGGTTCTAACAGGGAGAATATCTCATTGAGAACGGGGTCAGTCCTTGCGGAGAGGTCCTCATTGGCTGAATCGATCAGGCCCGAGCAATAACTGCAAACAATAAACCTCACCTTCAAGTACTGCGAGAAGCAGATTGACTGAAGTCTCGATCATCTCGTCGTCTGGGGTAATAATGTCCGCGCCCGGGGTATCGTCGTCGCTATCGCATTCGTCCGAATCGGATTCATGAAAGTCCAGCTGATAGGGAAGAGTTTTGCTGGGCTGCGATTTTGTTGGCTTGGGTTCGGGACGGCCGGACTCTAGAGCATGTTTGACGAAAGACAGCATGTGCGCTGGCTTTCCAAGTATAGTGGAGGGCCCATCTGAAAGCTGCGTTTGCATCTGAACAACCAGTTGCAGGTACAGCAGCGTTCTATTGAAACAAAATAAGAAGGAATTAACAAACAAAGACGACAAGCTAACCGCGTGGGGTCACCGTCCGTCTCCGACTTGGAATCCCGATACAATTCTAATAATCGCACGAAAAGATCGGAAGAGATATCCGTGCGTTGGATGGATTTCAGAAACCGGACGAAATGGGCGGGATCTGGATACAAGTCCAAGATATTACTATCGAGGTCAATCTCTTCGTCGTCCGCAGGAGTCCGAAGCGCTAATGAGGGCGGTTTCTCGGATCTGAAACGCCGATAAACGTACGGGCAATTGGCTGATTTATGTTGCTCACTTTTCGAGGCGAGTGATCTGCCCTTCCAAATCTACACGCCACTCGCCCCCTTGCCCATCGACCACAGACCACAAAATAGCCAGAGCTTCTGTGGTACCAACGACCCTACCCCATGTTCCGAGCAGTCCCCGGAGCATCTCTTTCAGACTGGGATCGGACGTCTTGATCTGGTCCAAGTGATACAACAGTGCATACAATGCCGAGACGATAGGTGAAAGCAGGGTCGATATAAGAGTAGGAGAGGGATCGGTATTCGTGATGAGCATCATGATCATGGTTAGCGCTTGTCGCGGCGGCGATGATGGGGTGACGGAATGAAACGGCGGATGCAAGAATGCGAGCACTGCGGCGGACGCGGGTGTTGTGAGCATACGGGATATAGAAAATGCTCCAGCCCGTCGGTACGCTGGGGGCGCACGATCCGACAACAAGTCGAGAATCTTGGGTGTAATGGTGGAAAAATAGGCCTGGGCATTGTAAAATCCTACTGTTGCTAGAAGAACGGAGTCTCTCACATCTGTGGCAACCCCGGCCGGCGCAGTCGGTCAGTACACGGGCGACGTGTTCAATTTTCTCCAACTGAACTTCATCGGCGTCCTCTCCGAAAACAGCGGCGCAAAGGCCACGACACCGTCGGGGCGCAATAGCTGCTTGCTGAGGAGAGACGCGCAGGCTTTGTGGAGGTGGGGTGGACAGGGCTTCACGGACAGTACAGCCCCCAGCGCAGTGATGGTCTGAGCCGGCGGCAGACTGGCAACATTTTAATGTGTGTACGACATATAGCCACAGAGGACGCAC